CAGATGTTTACTCACCATTGTGAACTTGTAACGCTCAGTTGCGAGAAAAAGTCTGAATTGTAAAATGATAATTTGCAGGTAACTTTAACTTTTTTTTATTCTGTCGCATAAGCTTCCACAGATGTGAGACCAGTTTCCTCGTGTCTGATTTAATAGTAATGCGACTTCTGATCAGTGTGAAGATGCAGTTTGGAGCATTGCCTAGTGGCCTTCCTAAAGCGTGTTCTGCATTGCCTTATGTGTGTTGTAACCTGAGGGAAGTGAGGTGCAGTATCAGATAGATAGATAGAGAGAGAGTATTTTTGAATAAATGCAGGCTTGTTAAAAGACTTGCCGACCCCAAACGGTAGTGTATGTGTGTGCTGGGGCTTAAGGTCTGTACATATGTTTTATTTAATAATAATGTATAAAGTACATTTATTTATTTTCCATTTCCACAACTGGGAATGACTGTAACTGCTCCAAATTCCTCACCCTTGTTTAAAAGATATACACTCACGACTAATGACCAATGTAAACCTTGACAAAAATAGGCATTTAAGAATCCCTAACATAGGCATAAGCCTGCTCAATTTATCACACAACGATAAGTAGGATTAAACGTAACCCACAGTGCAACAGCTCTCTCATTAGTGAACGTTACGTCTGAAACAAGAGGCCTTTCTTTTTGAGGTTACCTGGAGGGTTAATTTTGGATAAGATAAACTTGTGCTATAAATCTGCCCTTTTAATTCTGTTGTGCTAGAGAGTCCTCAAAGACACTGACTGGCATTATCACATGGCTCCAGAACTAGCTTTAGCCCCTGTACATGAAATCTCATTATTGGTGGTCCTTAAAACGATAGTGCCAAAAGTTTATTCCAGCAAGCAGACATTAAGTCGTTTATTAATAGTATGCCTCTTGAAGATGAACATGGCGCATAACTTTGCTCACGCAGCACATACCTGTAATTCCAGTGTGCATTCATGCATAAAACTCATTTCTCACTGTAGCCAAGAAGCACATCCTGACAAAATGAGCTGCTTTAGGGATACAAAAAGGGTGTTAAAGGTCAGTGCCCTGATCCTGAGCTAACAAGGAGCTGGGAGCTTATGTCATGTTAGATGTCATTGCAACAAGACAGCTGCACAGGAGACAATGATACAGAGAGACTCGGTCTCTCATTAGAGCTAACTTTCACTGGTGAATGGGGCAGGCAATAGCTCTAAAACAGCAGATGTCTTGATAGTTTATAAAAGCAGTATAGAGTGCGTTAGTGCCCACCAACTTTTATAACACCCTTGGTTCCGGAAGTGTTTGTCCAATTAATTTGTCCCTTAGGGATTTAAAAAAAAAGTTATAAGCCTTTATAAGCCACAACTTTGATTTGAAGCAAAAAAGTGTTTGAAAATCAGACAAAAAGTTGATTTAACGGTTCAAAATTGTGTCATTAACAGCACTACAAATTACATAGGCCTAATGGATTCAAAAACATCAGAAAAAATATAAAACTAATTATTTTGTATAATATATTGTTTATTTCAAAATATACATAACATACATTCAAATATTTCAGTGATTTTTGAAAGAGTAGGGATACCGACTATTACATCATTTGCAGTGCTTCATGGGAGTTGATGGATGCTCAAGAGTTGGAACAATTTGCTTGTAATGATTCTCTGATTAGTGGAGATTTCTCTGCTGAATTATGGGTAATGTCATTTTTCATCAGGAATTTCACTGTTGAACACAGTTATTTAAAAAATGATTGCAATCATGTGGACTAATGGCTTCAACAAATGCATATACCATTGATTAACAACCTCGTAGCTCACAGTAGGTTTGTATTTTGTAAATTATCATTTAAAATCAATTCCCCTACACCCTCAGAAAAATAGGTACAAATCTGTCACTGGTGCGGTAAGGTACAAAAGCTAAAAGGTACGTATTTGCAACTTATTTACCCCTAAATGTTACATAGTATATAAAAGTACTGTAAATGTACATATTAGTAAAGAGTACCGTCCCAGGGACAGTTTTGTACCTAAGAGTGTTTATAGAGAAAAAATAATGTGATTTTTACTTCCGGAGCCTGACTGTTGCACTCTATTGCTTTACACGAAGCATGCAGTTTTGTAAGGAAAATGTAATGTCATTTTTCATCAGGAATTTCACTGTTGAACACAGTTATTTAAAAAATGATTGCAATCATGTGGACTAATGGCTTCAACAAATGCATATACCATTGATTAACAACCTCGTAGCTCACAGTAGGTTTGTATTTTGTAAATTATCATTTAAAATCAATTCCCCTACACCCTCAGAAAAATAGGTAAAAATCTGTCACTGGTGCGGTAAGGTACAAAAGCTAAAAGGTACGTATTTGCAATTTATTTACCCCTAAATGTTACATAGTATATAAAAGTACTGTAAATGTACATATTAGTAAAGAGTACCGTCCCAGGGACAGTTTTGTACCTAAGAGTGTTTATAGAGAAAAAATAATGTGATTTTTACTTCCGGAGCCTGACTGTTGCACTCTATTGCTTTACACGAAGCATGCAGTTTTGTAAGGAAAATATAATCTGGTTAAGCAATATCACACAAGTGTGGATATTGTGCTAGAATGCTAATTGTGAGACAATATGTCAAGTTCCAGAATGCTCTGGGAGTTTATCATTGATCAAGGATGGTTTGGATATACACAAAAGCCAGACATTGTGAAGGGATGTGAAACACTACCTTCCCGAAAAAGGACTTTGAAACACATCCTTTCAGCTTTTGTTAAGGGCTGGTTTCACCCCATCTTTTGAAGAAACGTAAATGAGAAAGGTTAGACATTTTCTCTGAGGTAGGCCTATTGTTCTGACCGAGTTATCCAGCACAATATTCACATTCATTAAAAAAGCACTACAAATGTTCAAGATCAAAAAGTAAACCAAGTGAACCAAAATACTCCAGTGTTCAAACAAACAGGAAGCACCTAAATATCCCCAAATAAGGTAATTGAGTGTAGTAATGGCACTTATTAACGTAGTCTTTGCACATATGTTGCCGTTTTTATTTAAGAAAACATGATGGAGATCAGCTGAGACGTTCCTCCCAAATTGGGCAAAATGGAACCACTTAAGAGAAATTGGCTACATACTTAGATTGGCATCAGCTCAATGTACACAAAGCGGTAAAATGATGACCCTTCTTGCTTCCTTTTATAGTAACATATTAACTCAGCAACAATGTACTGTAAAACATTTATTGCAGGATTATATAGATGAATTATCGTAAACGTTCTGTGTTTCTGTAAGCATGTTTTCAAAGATGATCTGCAGAATGGGATTTTATAATACTGTACATAACAAATGCCATTTTTACTGTACATTCCAAGCATAATATCTTATACCAGAATACAAATATGAAATACAAATGTAAAAAAATCTTAGGATAGAGTTCAAACTTGCAGATTGATGTAAAACTGCTTGAGACATTTTGTTTCATGCATAAGCAAAACTGAATTAAGGCTATAGTCCTGTTCCAAAACCTAGAGAGCTGCTTCACTATGGCCTCACTTGACTTCAGTTGAAAAAGTAGACGCCAACTTTTGTCTGTTGACATTAACATGCTAACATTAACATGTTGACATTAACAGCTAATGTAATGCACTACTAAGCATAAAATACACAAATATAATTCATTTAAATTACATTAATCAATACTTTTCAGTATTCAATGATATGTAAGTTAATTAATAAACAAAATTTTTAAAGGGGTCATGACATGAGAAATAAAATTTGCCTTGATATTTTGCCTTGATATTGAGATATTTGTACCATTAAAACATTCTGCAAGTTTCATAGCTTAAAACGTCCTCCTCATTATAAACAAAGCATTTATTTAATCAAGCTCCAAAAACAGCTCATTTGGATCTGAGGTGGCATGTGACGTCACAAGTGCATTTGCATAAACACCACCTCCATAGCAAGACATTGACAAATAATCATCATCTCACCATAGGCCCCGCCCACTAGCGTTCAATCGCTTTAAACGGCTGTACTTGCCTACACTGGTCAAATGTAAATAGAACCCAATTTTAATAACTGCCGCTGTCTCGTCTACGCTGGATACAGTATACAGATGCGTGTTCACTTTCTGACAATTTCTATAGGACAAGAGTGAAAGAACGTTTGGTTTTGGTTTAAACAGCTTGTTCGCGTCTTTTAACAGACATCAGAAGGATCCCAGCATCAGAAACAAGCGAATGGTCTATTTTGAATGACATCCTGGATCGTATCGGAGGATTATACATTTGTTCAGAGCATTTTGTTTTGTAAACGAGGCACAATGTAATGGAGAGTTTGCAAAAAAACAATAGGTTACTGTTCGTAACCCCGGTTCTCTGAAACATCGAGTGGAGAGATCCACCTATGGGAAGGGCATCTGTACCTGACACCTGCAGAAGCATCCAATTGCACCAAGTCTGACTTGCCCAATGGCAGGTAAGGGACCGCCCCTTAACCGAACACATAAAACCCCTGCACATGCTACCTTTCCTCAGTGAGCTTCTCGCTTCTCGTGCAGCAAGCGGGGCAGACTTGGTGGATGTCTCCACTCGATGTTTCAGAGAACCGGGGTTACAAACAGTAAATTATTGTTCTCTTTCATCATCTTGTGTTCGAGATCCACCTATGGGAGATATAGACAGCTCCCCGGTTACCCAATACTCTCACAGTGAGGCCCTGTAAGTCAGAGAACGGTCACTTGGAAAGGTGGTGTTTGACACATCCCCAAGTATCAGAACCCACACAAAGTGAGAATGCAATACCAGCCATAAAAGAAATGACATGCGGTAACATGCATACCAAACCTAATAACACACCTCATGCTGACGGCATATATTATAGATATATTGACATATATATATATATATATATATATATATATATATATATATATATATATATATATATATATATATATAAATATATATAATTTGGTGTCAAAGGAGGGTACAGATGACCTGCTTAATGACATGAATAAGCCGAGCTGGACAACTCAGGCTTAAAAGGTGTAGAGGGTCTAAGGGCACAAGGCTGCAAAGAACCCACACCTAAAACTGAATGAGCTACCTGGGTGTGGGTAACATCAAGCCTGTAGTATCTGACAAATGTAGCTGACAGATAACCTCTGCGGCAGTAGCAAAGGACATTTTCCCCCAGGGTTTAGCAGGTGGGGGCTCACTCTGCTGCACCGGTGGCTTACTGCAGGGTCTATGAGCCCTGCCTGCATTATGGGGATGGTGTCCCGTAGCAGGGAGGTTAGGAGGCCGCTCAGAGAGTGTCTGGCATGAGGCGGGTTTCCTAGGAAGACAAAGTTTGAAAGCCTCGTCCTCCTTTTTCTTATCGTCTCAGCGCTGCTGCATTAGCGCGACGACAGGACCGAAGAGAGCCTGGCCAGGCTCGACCGGCACTCAAGCAAAAGATTAACACAGTATGTGCTCTCTGACCACCGAGAGAGCCACAGAGCGCCCGCACGCTTGGACATTCACTGTGACTATTTCCTTCCAGAGATCGGGTGATGGCGACCCTTTCTCCAGTTGTTGGCAGGAGGCCCCATCCGAGTCAGACAATCCCAAGTTGACTCTCTGAGTAGCGGCTACCTTGAGCCTCCGACGCAGGAGCTTCTTATAAGCAATGGCTACAGCTCTCCGATCGCTGGCTTCTTGAGAGTGTTTAAGACCCATGCAAACAATGCAAAGGAAAGAAGATCCCAAGCGCCAATGAGGGTGCCTCACGTAGCCAGGCAGGCTCGCGACTGGTTGTCCACGGGGGAAGCTGGATTCGATTTTGAAAGAGCCATGAGTAGCGGACAGTAGATGGAGTGAGGAAAAGGCGAGGTAAGAGACGGACAGCCTAGTAACAAGTGTGAGTGTGTGCGGCTTGCAGAATAAAACAGCTGACCTAGTAAAAATGACAAATACGTCAAAGAAGTAGACAAAGAAGTCAACCAATGAGCTGTGAGTAAATTTCCAGAGGTCGTGAGAAGTGAATGTCAATTGAGTAAAAGTAGTGTGTGCAGAGGCTTTATGTGCTCGTTAAGAGGTGGTTCCTTTACCTGCCACTGGGCACGTGCTCCTGTCTGTCAAGTCAAACTTGGTGCAATTGGATACTTTTGCAGAGGTCAGGCACGGATGCCCTTAGCATAGGTGGATTTCAAACATGAGATGATGAAGGAGAAATTTTTGTTGAAAGATGAAGCAGTACTGGGCCTTTCAAAACACTTATTCACATGTAGTATTGAGGGTGTGATACTGATACTGTTTCATATGCAATGACGTTAGCCAATCATAACAGTGGCTGATTACTGACAAGCCTTAAAGGACCCACTCCTTAAAAATTAATCATTTTTAGACTGAGGGTCGTGTCTTCGCATCAAAGGGTGCGTATTTGATAGTTTACAAGGTTTTGTAACAGAGCATGTGTGTGGTAAGTGACATCAGTTGATATCTCATAACCACAACAAGGTCTGTATCTAAGGGATTGAGCCATGGCTAGTGGATCAGACATTTTTTAGAAGTCACTATCTATTGTTCATTTGATTAACTGAAAAGGTTTCACTGGCACAAGTGCATAGAACAAGAGGCACAGGATGTTCTGTGACAACAGTTCTTATGGGTTCCTAAACAGTTGTCTAAAATTATTCGCTTCAACACTGACTACCAGGGTAGTCAATTATGACTCCCTTGATTCTTTTCTTTTGCAGTTGGCTAGCAAAGGGAAAAGCGTCTGGAGTTAATGTTCATCTTGGTGACACCAATGAGGCGCAGTGGTGAAGAGAGGCCAAACCCTGGAGTGACGGGTCCATCACACAAAAGATCCGACAGCTCATCACGCTCCTCCAGACCAACGGTGGCGTCGTTGAGCATTCGGCGATGCAGGTGACACGTCTGCTCCACTTTGAGTTTGTTGATGTCCCCGCGTAGTCGCATAAGTTGGCGGGCCAACTGCTGGTCCTGGATGCGCATCTCCATCTGCCAATGAATAACAGGTAGGAGAAACTCATTAAGGCTTCATTATATGACTTTGTGCCTCCTCAAATTTCATAGTGAATATTATGAAGCACTTACTGAGACATTATGAGACAGTATTTCCTTATTTTACACAGTCAAAGGTTTAGATAGGGGATTCTCAACTCTGGCCTTTAAGGTCCACTTTCCTGCAGAGTTGCTTTACTGTTAACTGTTTTACTTTTTAATGCATTGTTTGCATTGGTGATGTTGTTAGTTGATCTTTAAAGTTACTTTATGTCATTTTGTATTAACTGTGCTTTTGTATGTAGTTGTTCATGGTTTGTAAGTTAAAATCAGACTTTATGCTCTCTACCAACACTATTGACAGCCAGCATTTATGACTTTAACTATAAGCAGAATACATCAATGGTAACAGTTTTTCATTTCTACATGTTGTCATTACTTGAGAAATACTCACTTTAAAAGTTTGAGACAAAACCATAGAAAAAGCTGAGTGGATCTGTTTTTCATTTTGATCTGCCATTTTCATTTCAAAAGGAAATTATTCTCATGTTAGTATTTTAAATAAAAAATGTATTTTTAAACTACTGTTTTGAGAACATTCGAGTACTTTTTACAATAAAATACTATTTTAGTTATTCTACTTAAAAATGTCACATTTAATTCAATGTTACTTGCAATTTCTTTATAATTAATTGTGAAAATTACCAGCAATTTTGGAGTGAAAATTGTTTCTACACTGTGATGACAGCTTCATTTCAGTCTTTAGTGTCACATGATCCTTCAGAAATCATTCTAATATGATGATTTTGTGGTCATAAAACCTTTGTTATTATTATCAAAACTGTGAGGCATTTTTTCCAAGTTTCTTTGATGGAAATACAATTCAAAGAACATTTATTTTGTAATATAAATCTTTTGTAACATTATAAATGTCTTTACTGTCACTTTTGATTAATTTTATTTAATTTTTGACCATTTGGATTAACCATTTAAATAAACATGGGCATTTAGATCCGTCTTTGTTAGCAAACATGCTTTTGTCCTTTTCACATAATAAGGGGCTCAAAATTAGGGGAGGTGATATGGATCTTCAGAAATCCTCTTGTACCGCAATTTGCACTGTTTTTGTTATTGTGTCCAATTTTCTTTGTGTAAATGTTTATGGACACAAAGCAAAGGCAGTGAAAGAAAGGCCTCTGATGTGGCGAAAGGAGCCTCATTGCATGCCTTGGCTGTAATGGCCTGTGCATAAAAGTATGTCTTGAACCACATGGCTGAGTGGAAGAGAAGTGATTATACTTAGAGGAACAGAGAGTGAGCGCCTCTCATGCTCATCTGCTTGCCATCTTTTACACTCAATTTAACATGAATGGCAATCTTGTGCAGTGATGTGGTAATAAAGCCCTGCGCATTCACTCCATTGTTTCAGTCAAATTAGCTAACTAATAGGTATGCTGTTCATTTTCTTATCTTATAGAAAGATGACTGCAAAATAGCAGCAAGTATTTTGAAAAATCTAATTTGTGAGAAGATTATAATGACAAATACGAGTGTCTTTCTCATTCAAAATACTGTAAAAATACAGTTTAAAATTAATTGTGTCGATTAAAAAAATGTAAGAAAACAAATACACATGAATGAGTGTTCATAATCATTTTTGAAAACAATTCAAAAGTTTTCCAAATCTATTTTCAAGGTATTTTATATTTATACAAATATCATAAATTATTAATGACATTTTTTATATGATATTAATTATAACTTTTTTGGGAGTCACACCACATGATATCCACATGATATTTTTTATCCTTATATTTTTCCCCTTTTTTGTGGGGGGGGTTTCATGCTGGTTAATAATAATAATAATAACACTTTTTTTATTTATATAGCGCATTTTAAGAACCCAAGGACACTTACAAACAAGTGATGGACACCATATGAATATTTGGCATATAAAAGGAAATTACTTATTATGGAAAGGGCTTATTATTTTAAGAAATAATAATAAAAAATGTAATAAATAAAAAAGATTATGCCAGTCTATGTAATGAGCTTTTCTGTCAAGAATTTCATCCTTTTAAATATTACATTTTATTACCCTGATATTTTTGGCTTTATAGTTCTCAAAAAATAATAAAATGAACTGTATGCAATTTCAATTCAGAAATAATGCCATTCAACTTCAGTCAACAGATGGAGATGTTGAAACATTTTGACTTACCAGTTCTTTTCTAAGCCAAACAAGAGCTTCGTCAATATTATCAAACCCTCCAAGGCTTCTGGAAATCAGGGCATTCCCTGCAGTCACTTGTTGATTCTGAGGTGTGACGTTGGGCTTCAGTCCAACACTTTTCTCCAGCTCTGATGAGACCTCTGACACGACTAAACCTTTGGAGCTTTGAGCTTCCACTCGTTCCTTCCACTCAAGATAGGACGGCCTTCTGGTCTCAAGTCTGAGCTTCTCAGTCAATGCTTTCAAGTTTCTCAAATGATCATCTGGGGCAACCTCAAGGCCATCATAGTCCTCTATATTAATCTGAGGTATTGAGCTGGCATCCATGGCCTTATGAGGAAGTGGTTAGTGTCGAGAAAATAAACAGTGAAAATCAATTTAAGTGGTCAGGTGATGTCATTGCCTTGTTTGATCAATAATGATACAGAAAACTTTTGGATTTGCTTGCAGTAACCAGGATGTTGTGTCTGTGGGACTATAAATTAAATCAGCAATGCAGATACTGAGCTTCCATTCTTCCAGCAGTATCATCTCCGTAGCGTAGCCGTCCTAACACATCTTGCTTCTTGATCCTTTCCTTCAATAGAAACAAACTTGGTTACCTTTTTATCATTTAAAGTTTTAGGCCCGGCCAATCACAATGCACTGGGTCAGCTGGCCAATCAGAGCAGACTGCTTGTCAGAAGGAGGGACTTTGTAGAAACCTACGTGTTTGAGAGATGCAGGGCATAGAGGACCTACAATAATGTACAGTATTTAAAAAATAATGTGTTTTTTGAACATTAAAGCATGTCAACATATTCTGTTACACCAAATACACAAAATAATGATCTTTAAAAAAGCATCATATGACCCCTTTAAGATTTATCCATTTTAATCCATTTTAACTCAACTAATTTGAGTATGATCAAAATGACTTTTTGATCATATTCAACTAATCGATCATACTTTTTAAGTGATTCAGTTTATATGTTTTCACAATTAACATATCCATGCTGATTCTAGGGAATTTGAATAATGTATATTGAATATATGATTATTTAAATAAAATTAAATACAAAATGGTTTTTCGAAATTGTAAGTAAAAGATTATTGGAGTGTTTTACAAGAAAATATGTTTTTTTCTGCTTCAGAACGTCATGCTTAACACAGTGGGTTACTTGCTCTTTCCTTGTAGTTGTTTGTGAAATTTACTAGCAATTTCTGAGTGAAATATTATTTGCTACACTATTTTTTTTTTTAGTTGTAGATGCCAATACCTATTAATAAATTATATCACGACTACTTTTTTAGTGTAAGTGAAAAAGTATATAAAAGAAAGAAGAAAAATAAATTATGTATTTGAAAAGATTATTTGGTTTTAATTTGCAAAACCAGAAGCTATTCTTCTGGAGTAAATCATGGTTAAAATGGAAAGTTTACTGATCACATCGACGATTTCCATCCATGCCTCATATCACAGTGTGGATCTTAGAAAGCTGGTGGTTGCCATAGCAACTAAACCCAGCCTATGAGTCAGCAGCACTGAAGACTGTCTGCTCTAAAGAACTAAATGTCACTCCTCACTACAGCAGCCAGACCTGTGACAATCACCAAAGAATATAATGCTGCTCAATTACAGCCTCTCATTACTCTAATACAGACAAGCAAAACTACTGCTGAGAAGACAATCACATGAAGTTCTGTTTCACGCCAAAGCATCAGCATTGTGCTTATAACGGAATTGATCTCAGGACCACCCACATTTTTCATGCTTTCCCACAAAGCTGTCTGTCTAATGTATGTGTGATATAACGTTTGGCACAATGCCTTGACGTATTTCATCATCCCAGCTGCTCTAGGAATGTGTTCTTCCCATAAGAGGCGTGTGCTAGTTGTTAATTGGCCTCACATTAACCTCCACATGGCTGCGGGACTAATCACACTCCTAAAGTCTCGGCTCATTGAGCCCTTTGCTCCACCTCCCGCACTTTTCCAGCTCTGTGTGTGGCAGCAGTAATGTGACTCATCTCACAGGGGGATCCATTCACCCTAGACCACTCTCACTTTAGTCTGACAAAATGTGCTTCTTATAGGGACTAAATACCTAGACTTTAAAATATGAGGCAACTGATGATAATTCGTGGTGAAATAAGGGCTTCACAAAGAGAATGAAAATACTGTATGGAATGTAAGAAACAAATTTCAGCATGAATATACAGTATATATAAATGCCTGTAGCATGATATTTATCAAGAGACTAAACAAGCTTTGCAGGTTTTGCTTTTGCACTTACTTGATATAATAAAATATAAATAAAACAATAAAATATAATATAATGCGGTAGCACTTTATTTTTCAGTCCTGTTCTGCATGTGCACACTATGTACTTATTAAATTGTACTTAATATAATAACCTGGAAAATTTCTCTTTTCATGAATAATATTGGTTTTGAGTGCTGTATCTTTCCACAGTCTAAAGTATTATGTTCTAGAATGCAGATCTCAAGGGGGGGGGGGGGATTCTCCTTTTTCCAGACATATTAAATGTTCTTTGGGCCAAACAGACAGTTTGGAACACTAGGCATGACTGCATTCATCCATGTCTAATTAGATGCGGTGAACCTTACTGTCGTATATCTGGAGTGCAAATCTTGGTTTCTTAGCATAAAATGATTGTGCTATTTGGAGTGAAAATGAACTATTCTGGCCAGAATCTCAATTCATGACCAGTATTATTGGAATAATGCTGTGATGACTAACAACTTTCCATTCAGCTATTAGTTGTGTAACAACATGTAACAACATTTCTTTGATTATTACCAAATAGTTTATTTATTACATGTCACATAGCAATGATTAACTGAGCCCAACTAAATACAGACTAAATGAAAACCTATTCGGGTGTTGAATAACGCATGTCTAGACAATTCAGAAACATTCATTTTTTACTTTTCTTTTTTTTTTTAAAAAGACAATAACTTCATAAAAGTTTTTACTTTAAAATGCACCATCTCAATCAACCTATTCATGGTCGGTGGATGCAACTGATTAGAATAAAACATCATGAAGCAGATACATCCTGCGTAGAAAAGTGATTTAGGCTGTTGAAAGTCATCTAAAACTTACCGCACCCTGTGGGACAGGCATTAGCCAGTTCAGTAGTGACTCTTAAAGAATATTTGAATATTTGATCTAGTTTATATGGGCATTAGAGAGTCTGGACACTCTCTTTATGCAGATAGTATTAAGGAAAAGATTATTCTTACCTTCATAGTAGTTTGTCAGGCACTTGCACCCCTCGCGTCCTGCTCTAGTGGAGAGCACAATAACACTGCTTTTACTCCACACTTGGTTCTTGAATGAGATGAGAGGCTTGAATGGAGGAGGGGCGTAAGTTGCGTCAGGTTGTGGTTGTCCTGGAGATGGTAAAGAATCTGCACAAAGCCTGGAGTACAGCATCTTTCACAGCGAGGAGAGGCCAACTAGCACTCCTCCAAAACACTTGTACTCTTGCATGTTAAACAATTACCGTACATAAGAAATATTAATTATCATAATAGGCTACTTCAAACATTTTACAAGGCCTATCTTATATCTACTTCCACATTCTAAATAGTTATTTATAGAACTTCAGATAGACATTCAGAAAATGCATGTAATGTGCATTTCATTTTATTTAAAAAGTAGAAGGTCCAGAAAAGTAAAAGACCACATTTTGTCATGATATCATCAGGTCTATTTCCAAATACTTATTATTCAAGACTCTAGAAATGCATAAATGGTTAATATTTAAACTGCCTATTGATGACCATGTATTATGTTATGTTTGTGTGACCTCTGGTGGAGAATGTTCATAATGAAACTTGCATTAGTCATATTATTTTTTCATAAACGGTATGAAAATTTCTTATCACGATTATAGTGACCAAAATGATCACGGTTATCAGTATTATTACGGTATTGCGCAAATGTGCTGGAAATTTTCAAAAAGCACTGACACATAAATCCTTTCACCAAATGTTATACTTAAAATCAACAAACAACAAATACAATTACTTTTTATGTGCATAAACCCTAATACAATAACATTGCCAATGATGTCTGGATTTTAAATAGCAACATGATGACAACAGTTTATCTAATAACATGTATGAAATGTTCAAATAAAGCTTTGGAAAAGTTGAATAAAAAATAAACCTCACATTTCAGCCTTTAAGTAAAGAAAAGGGTTGTCAAAATGATCATTGATTAATAAATGATTATATGTATTTTATCTGTTCCATAAATAGTTCTAGATACTTTATCCGAATTGTTTAAATGTGTACAATACACACAGCTTGTTTTTGATCAGCTGGTCAAAATTTACAGCAGGGCATGCAAATTTGCTCCGTTTTTTTGTCCAGACAAAAACTACTGGCAGGCTGAATATACAGTAAATGTAACTCTCTGTAAATCCACTCTCTGACAGCAGGTGGCGCTGATGGAACAGCAGAATAATGTCAGTTTTATATACATTCTGAATCATAAACAACTTAAAGGCATCTTCTAAACGTCTGTTTGACATCTGATAGGAAACGTCCTACAGACGTAGGCTATTGCGTGAGCAAACCCTCTAAAAAGTCTTGCAGATGTAAATGCAGACGTCAAATAGACATCTCAGTGTTGTACATGTGCCATCAGGGATTCAAATTATATTGTACACAACAAAATGTAATTATTTAGAATGACAGTAGATGATTTGCATTTACGACTATCATTTAGACTTCAGTAGCCATTAGCCTAACAAATATTATTACACACTAACAAACTATTAAATAAAAATCAAATGAATAGTGTTGTTGTTAGCGTTTAGCGCTGATAATGAGATTCATTGGTGAGAGAGAAATAGGCGGGACTTCCTGTTTATTTTTTGCAGAGCCCAATATCGTCCACAGAGGTAAGCTGAACGTTTACTTGCATGCATACACACGGGTTCGATTCGTTTAATCGCAGATGCATCTGTTTTCACTGTGAAGGTGCTTGATATCGGAGACGTTTTGATAATGTATTGTAATGACATAAAGCGTTGTCATAGACCATGCAGCGCGCTAACTTGAGATAAACGGGTTTCCTTTCGTTTACAACAGCTGCCGTTGAGCGGAGAAGCACACTGGTTAGTTGAGGATAGCGTTATAGAATATTATTTTAGAGCCAACAGGGATTGTTTTGTAGATGTTTTTAAAAAGAGGGACACCAGTGAAGCGCGAGCGGCGGGACGGGTGACAGAAATGCGCTGCATTGTGTATGATGTCATCATCTTCCATTTTTACTGACGCACTGTACAATTGAAGGATTTTGATACATTTGACACCCGTTTAAAGCATTTATAGTTCGAAATGTATCCGGTTAGTTGTTGCATTATGTATAAGAAAAATGCACCTGTTAACTGAGCAGGCGCGCTGAAAGTAGGCTGTACTGCCATGACCGAATATGACATGCATAACCGTACATACATGCAGTGCCATTCAGAACAATGCGACCGATTGCATTCTTTTAAAGACAGATACAAGCGGATTTAAAACAAATTATAATAAAAGTAATTGTTGCAGTTTTTTTTTTTAGGTGAGTCATTGTTGTGTAATATGTGTTTTTCCCCCACGTTTATCTTTTTATTTTATTTTACTCTGAGTCAAATCTTTTGCCGAGCTGCATTCTCCTGTGTGAAATCATTGTCATTTTTTTGTAAAACTGTGGTTTACAATAAAATATAGTAAAGTGAAAAAATAAAATAATAAAGTGAAAATAAAATATAATAAAAAGTGAAAATGTAATAATATAAATCGACAATATTTTTCATATTTACCTTTTTCATTTTTTTTTAATTCATTTTTTTAATATATATATATATAGTGGCCGTCTTTTAAAATTTCCATGTCGATCTTTTCAAGCTGCATTCCCCCTGAGATAAATCATTAATTGTTTTTTAATATATTAATTAAAATGTTAAAATATTAATCAGAAACTGTTAACACATTAACTTAATTGCCATAATCAGATTAAGCCAATATTTTGGTTTCTAGAAATCTCTCTCTCTCTTTCTCTCTCTATATATATATATGGAGAAACTAGTTTTGAATGACTTTAAAAACATATTACAAACTCTGCGTAACAGGAATACACTTTTATGTGAGTGTGTTTATATTAAATTAGAAATGAATGTGCATATTTTAATTTATTTGCAATTTGCTTATTGTATGTACACTAGAATTCCACTAATAAAGTTTTACCCACACTGTTGATATTAATCACAAAATGATGTGCATGTAAATGTGGTCAATGGTCGAAACGTTCCTTCCCCATTCATGCCTACAATGAATATGCTTTTTATAGGTCTCCCTTTAGTAGAAAATCTTACATCATGCCAGACCTCTTAGTGATTAAGAGCTGCTTCCTGAGTTGCTTATTAGTATTGCTTCAGACATCAAGCTCACAGCAGGACGAGCAAAGCCAGCTGCTACTGGTGTCCTTTGATGGCTTCCGCTGGGACTATGTGAATCGAGTACCCACACCCAATTTCCGTGCCCTGATGGATGAGGGTGTGCAGGTGGAACAAGTGGAAAACACCTACATCACCAAGACCTACCCGAACCACTACACCTTAGTGACAGGATTACATGCCGAAACCCACGGCATTGTTGCTAACGAAATGTATGACCCCATTCACAACCGCTCCTTTTCTATGGAGGGACCTGAAGTGTATGATGCATGGTGGTGGGAGGAAGCTGTGCCGTTGTGGGTCACCAATCAAAAGGCTGGGCGGAAGAGCGGAGCTGCCATGTGGCCTGGATCAGACGTAGCGATTGGTGGAACGTTCCCAACACATTACTTGAGTTATAATGCGTCAATGCCATTTGAGACCCGAGTCGACCAACTCATTGACTGGTTCTCAGGGCCAGAGGCCATCAATTTTGGTGTCTTGTATTGGGAGGAGCCAGATGAGAGTGGGCATAACTTGGGGCCGGAGAGCCCTCTAATGGATGTAGTCATAGCAGACATCGATGAGAAGTTGGGATTCCTCAGGGAAAAGCTCAAAACCGCTGGCCTTTATGACAAAGTCAATCTCATCGTTACGAGTGATCATGGAATGACACAGTTATCACATGATAAGATTATTGAGCTGGACACCTACGTCAGACGTGATCTTTACACATGGATAGACAAGAGCCCTGTAGTTGGTATTTTGCCAAAAGAAGGTAAGAATGAATATAAAGCATTTTTTTTATTGCTCATTACACTAGTCATGTAATTGGGTGTTTCTTCCACTTCCTTCTTTTTCTTTAAATTAAATAAATATCACATTAATACTGTATTGGAAAGTTTTACCATGCCTTCATCTTGTATTTTTGTTACTTTTCAAAGGCCTTTTTTATTTGGTATCGATTTTTATTGTTTTTCTCTTTTCCAAACCTGTGACTTCAACTATAAAAATCCATCATTAAATATGAATCATTAAAACTATGAAAATCTAAATGATGTTTTATTAACAAGGTTCGGGAGGAGCACGATCAGATAATCAACCAATTTGGCACAGGTGGAGCTTGTCTAGTTAATCTAGACAACTAGCACAATACGTATATATACAGCCAATTTACCTCTGTCCCACAACAGTTTTCCGGCATCCCTCCTCCACTCTTAACTATTCTCATCCCAGATTAGGGTTTAGGGAGTTCTCTGGGTTTGGGCTATATTCTGAGCTCAGAGCCCTCCCTCAGGACAGCACACCAAATATCCCTGCCTGCACTGGCCCTTTACGGGCCCACTTAGGGCTAGCCTTAGGGCCCCCAGCGGGCTGCCAGCGCAGGGCCCCTGAGAATGTGCTCATTGGCAAAACGTTGGCCCCTTAGCACTGGCCCTTCACAGGCAGCCCTCACTTTGCCCTCAGGAAGCCCTCTATATTCCCACACAGGGCCCGTGCTATTAATCTACAAAAATACATAGGTTTCACTTTAAATACTTTCCAGCTACTATAACTTAAGTTTTTGAGAAAAACTGTTATTATACATCTGAAATGGATGCAGTCACCACATAACTAATGTCTGTATTGTCAAAAATGTACAGTAGTCAAAGGGATTTCAAATCAATTTATTAAATACAAAATAGAAAACATTCAGTTCAGGTTAATACAGCTACATATAGCCAAGAATGCAAATACACAAAAGTACAACAAAACAAAGCAATGTAAGACTGTAGGATTTCGTCATGTGAAAGTACATCAATGTCCAAACACTGTCCATAGCTGAAGTTGACTGATAGCAAATTAATAATCCAACCTCTTGTAATGAAAACACGCC